TGGTGGAAGAATTTATGGAGGATAATTTTTTAGTGTGCATAAATGATGGGGCTGGAACAAGGTTCAATATAAGGGATCAATCAAAATCGTGCATAGATCTAACATTAGTGTCAGCAATTATAGCAGTTAAATGTCAATGGAAAGTACTAGATCAATCGACAATTGGTCCCTGGTACCAGCTTCTGTGCTCCACCGCTCAACTGCTCAACTCGATCAGATCTGCTCAAACAATTTATTCTAACAACTAGTGACACTTATTTATTGCTTATTTCTTTCTTTTAGTTTTAAATCAAATGCTGCAAATGGCAAGATTGTTTATAAAATGAAACTACTACAAAGTCTTTGTTGCAATACATTGCATCCGTAAAGAGTGAAGATACTTACAGTGTCGACTCCAGCCAGCAGAAGCTCTGTAATGCTTCCCAAAACCTCAGTGAAGGACATCTGTTCACTGATCAGGAGGGGTGTGAGATACTCGCCCTCCACTGGCTGCCCATGTTTCACCATTTCCTGAATCTCTGTCATCTTCTTCTGCACCAGTTCATCCGCTTTGCAAAAAAAAAAAAAAAAACTGCATATTTGAAGATGATTGCCATTCTCTTGCCTGATGAGTATGGTTTGAATAGAGACACTCTAGACTACTGTTCAAATGTTTGGGGGATTGTTTAATGTTTGTGAAAAAAGTATCTTATTCTGTCATAGACTGCATTTATTTGATAAAAAATGCAGTAAAGAAAATAACATTGTGAAATATTATTAGAATTTAAAATTTAATAACTATTTTTAAATACAGTTTTTAACTATTTAAATATATTTTAAATGTAATTTATTCCTGTGTTGACAAAGCTGAATTTTCTCCAGCGATTACTCCAGTCTTCAGTGTCACATGATCCTGATTTGGTGCTCAAGAAACATTTCTTATTAATGAAAACATCTGTGCTGCTTAATATTTTTGTGGAATGTATCCACAAGTGATTTTTTTCAGGTTTTACTGCTGAACAGAAAGTTCAAAAGAACAGCATTTATTTGAAATAGAAATCTTTTGTAACATTATACTGTAACTGTCTTTACAGTCGCTTTTGATCAATTTAATGTATCTTCGCTGAATAAAACTATTAATTTACTTTTAAAAAAAACGTACTTATCCCAAGACAACAATAAAAAAAATTTTATTCATAACAATAATTCTATTAATTTAATGTTTTTTTTTGTTTTTAGCTTTTAAACATGACAATAATAGGAATAGACTTACCAACTTTGAACAAATGATCCCAAACAGCAACAAAATGCTTCCAAAAAGGCATGTAGGGCCAGAGAGATTTGGGGAACAGGATCACGATGGGAGAAAGACGGAACATTTCCCCAACAGAGAAGATAAACTTCTGTGTTTCTTCAGGAACCACATCATTCAGACACCCCATACGAGTTTCAAACAACACTGAGCATATTCCTTATGAAGGAAAGACAAAAACCTATATTAGTGTGATGGACACCACACTTGTTATCAAATATAAATCAAACTATGTACAGTATATGTACTGTGTGTATATATATATATATATATATATGTGTGTGTGTGTGTGCACGTGTGATAAAAAAACTACAACTAAAATCAAAATTACACAGGAACAAAACATTGGAATATTATTAGGCAATATATACAGTATATTAGAGCATAATTGTTTTCCAGGTATTTTTATGATGCTGATCTATTTGAAAGGTAGACTAGTAAAGTCAGCTGCACATGACTAGAAGCTATGAACTTGTCAAGGCCAATGCTCTTTATAGGATAACAAGTGGCCTTTGTTATCTAATGTGTGGCATTGACCCTTTGTACTCACTTGATTCATTAAAACAGCTAATATGAATGCTTGGGAATGACTCTATGGCATAATTCAATATCTTGACCTTGGAATTACCCAATATGTTATACCTTCAAAGGCAAACTTGTACAGTTCTCCTGCCACATCATACACCATAACGTCATTGCCTTTTGTTGTCCTAAGCTTAGCCACCTTCTCTATAAAGTCGCTCACCACACCATTAATGGCATTGGTGTAGGAGGACACGTGTTTGGGCTTCAGCATGCGAGGATTCAGGATGCTTCTAATGCGCTGCCACTCCACTCCCATTCTGAAACGGGACAATAAATACATTATGAGTATTGTCATTTCTGTCAGCATAATTACTTTCTCAAAAATCTTTGCATGATAATTTGCTAACAAAAAAAAAGTATTTTAGGCATTTTATATTCAAAATAAGTTCAGAACATTGATTATGCTGTATCTGATCAAATCCATGCTGACCTCTAAACACTGAATGAGTAAGCCCTCAATTTTTTCTTTTTAGTTTGGAATTCCTCAAAACCAGTTTTCCCACTAACACTTGCAATTATTGTCTGCCTCTGCTGTCATCCTTCACAGAGATTTCAATTTCTTTGTTCACTGAAAAATCTCAAAAACAATTCCCTATTTATTCCCACTAAAATGGGCTTATGTAGCATACAAATTCCATAATTTTTTTTCTTGAATTAGGTTTTGGTTTAACTGTTCAACGGACACAATAATGTGTGCCCTCAGTCATGTTTTCATTTTGTACTCACTTTCTAAGCAATCAATTGCAAGCTGCTAGCTATTCATGTTCAGACATGCACTACATTTGTGGCTTCATAACATCTGCAGATGTTTTTATGTATACTTCTGCAGCAGCTGACAGCATTATGGTTGCACATTATGTGTGCAATGAATGCATTTAAATAACAGATGAATGCTTGTGCCAATAATACTGGGGTCTCCGATGTTACTTACTCTGTGAGGGGTCCATAGGCATGATTCCGGAGTTTTCGGTAGCCTCTCCAGTGGGGCATGTCAGTACGGATGGGATGGCGACCCTCTTGCCGTAGAACCTGTTCTATGAGGTCTGCATTGGCCACATTAACAACAACCAGTGGTCCATATTTGGACTTCCAAAGGGGGCCGTAGATTTTGCTGTGCTCTATCTGCATTAATGACACATTTTAGTGTAAATAAAGATTCAGTGTTAATTTTAAAACATGTTACATATTATAACTATTCTATTACAGACATAATTTCAGGAAATTACTGACAATGTCATCCCACTCCTTCACATAAAGTAGCGAAAGATATAAAACAGTGAAATATACATAACAAAGATTTAAAAACCCAACATAACTTTCCCAGCAGAAATGAAGCCAATCATTTGGAGATTAAACGTGTTAGTTTTTTTTAACACTTTTTATGAATCTTTACCTGCATTTGATGTGTCGTTTGAAAATAACCTTTCCCAAAGAGCCAGTATAATGATGTCAGAAAGCTTGGACCATCCAAGTCGTCCATGGTTTTTTGTTTATCACCACCTATTAGTGTACTGGTTGTCCGAGTGAGGAATACCGATGTCAGGCATTTTATTCCTCCGTAGTCCTGCTTGCATAAAAATAATCCAGTTCTCAGCACCGAATGGGAAAACATGTCTAATCTCGCAGTCCGCAACTCAGTCTGTACAATAGCCCTGTTACAGCAGTGTGCTGCCCTGCAATGGCAGTCTGTGGCAAAGCGCCAATTCCCCTGCAGATGAACTTGAGTAAACTCGCTTGTTTTCGAGGGGATCTGTTCCTGTTGAGATTCTGTGAAAGCCGCCAGTGTTACTACCCTTACAAACATTTACCTCCACGCCCAATCATTGTTTCTGCCAAAATACAACTGTTACTACTATAAAATCTTATAATCAACAATGTAAGAATGTAATCTTGCGTCGTATCACTATAAATTCAAGCGAATATACACTACCGAGCAAACGTTTAAGGGGCAGTGAAGACTTTTACATGTTTTTGTAATAAGTCTCTTATGCTCACCAAAGCTGTTGAACAATTACTCCGGTCTTGAGTGTCACGTGATCCTTCAAAGATCATTCTAATATGCTGATTTGGAATAGAATGTTTAAAAGAATAGAAAGCCCTTTTAATATAAGTTAAATTATCAAAAAAAATATTTGCAAATCAACACATGATGTTACAAATGAACTCATGGCAAGTGAAATGTGGAAAGATTTTACCTGGTTTTATTAATGCTTTCTTATAAACATCTGACAGTGTTTTATGGGAAAAGGCTATGAAAATCACCATGCATAGCACAGAGACACTGTTACAGTATACGCACACACAAAAAAAAAAAAAATTACATGCACACTTGCTCAGGGTCATAGAGGGAACATTATTTCAACATCTTTGTTTCAGAAACAAACCAATGCATGTTTTAAAGTTTGTGCCTCCAAACAGTCTCTCTTCATCTAAAAGATGCATGTCTCATGAGCCACTGCATAACGTTCAAAAAGATTTATGTTGAAACCCTCAACATAATTAGAGCAACAATTCCTATCTCACAATTACTCGATTAGACTTGATCAAGTTAATCTGTCCATAACATGAAGCTCAGTTAAACTTTGCAGCTCAGATGCTGAAAATGATATTCTGCTATATGAAGACAATAAAATGATCAACAAACAAATATCACAAAAGAAATCTTTATTAGTCTACACACAATTTTAATGATCAAACACTTCCCACAGAACTACATTTACCACACCAGTCAACCCTGCTACATTACATTGAATGGCATTTTGCAATTAGTGCTCAAGAAGGACTGGCTAAGGACATCCTTTAAGAGTGAGAGTGTTGCTTTTGGGCCTTCCAGAGGCATACAGTAAGACACACACAACACAGAGACTTCTACCTCTAAATGAATATCATATTTTTATGCAATAAAAAAAAAAAGGGTGTGCTTAAATGCAAGAGAATGGGATGGATAGTCAAATACACCTTATATACAAGGCACAGTTTGTTATAAGCAAATGTCTCCGAATTATCAAAAGAGAGACAAATTCAAGTATTGCAGGTCGGGTAATGTGTAAATATCTGAGATTGAGCTTGGCACCTTAATTTACTGGTGCTCCTTAAGACTCCTTATAATATGCTGCTGAATCACAGTATTTTAAGCCTCAAAAAAAAAAATATATATATATGTATATGTATATATTATAAGAAGACCATGGTGACCTTTCTAAACAGTTATTTCACAAACAGATATATTTTTATAACCTCTGAGGAAGCAATTATAGGACATTCCAATAAAACTAACATCTATGCAGTAGCATTCTCAACAAAATAAATACTTTTTCTTAATTTACTAATACAGCAAACCCCCCAGCAATGTGTCCAATTGCACAGCTTTTGCTGATCCAAGTATTACTAAGAAACTGGGGGGAAAAAAAAGATTTCCTAAATGAGAAGTTGACAGGGATTTGGATGCAGGTATCACAAAGTTTTAACTAGTGAAAACACTTCCTGAACACCTGACCCTCTTTCAGCATCAGGTGTCCCACAAGTCTTTGCGGTTAGTCATCGTCACTTTCACTCCCAGACTCACTCAACTGGAGATCATTTTCTGAAATGAATCAAAACATGAGCATATTAGACACACAAAAGAGAGTGATAGACCAACCAAAATCACCCAGATGCCCTGAAACTCACTAAGTGTGTTCATTAAATGCCCGCTGCTCTCCTCCACACGGCTTTGAGATGTGTTGAGGGCAGAGGTGCTCTGGGGGGGAGCTGGGGCCAAATTATGTGGGGGGCGATCCTCATCCTCTGCGTCACTGCTGCTGGAGCTGTCCCCGCTACTGGAGGATGAGGAACTGTGGGAATCTGAAGAGCTGTCCCCACTGCTCATCTGATCCATGACACGCGCCTCGGCCATCAGCTCTACAGAAACACATAACACAAGAAGGATTAACTAAAGAATTCCAGTACACTACTGTTCAAGGGGTTTTGGGTCAGTAAGATTTTGAAAGCAGTCTCTTATGCTGCTCACCAAGGCTGCACTTATTTAATGAATAAAGCAAAAACAACAATATTGTGAAATACACAATATATTTACAATATTATTGCAATTTAAAATAACTGTTTTCTATTTTAATATAATTTATAATGCAATTTATTGCTGTGATGGCAAAGCTGAATTTTCAGAACCCATTCCTTCAATCTTCAGTATTACATGATCCTCTGAAAATCATTCTAATATCCTGATTTGCTGCTTAATTATAACCATCAATGTAGAACAGTTGTGCTGCTAACGATCAATTTTGATCAATTTAATGTGTTCTTGCTAATTAAAAGTATTCATTTATTTAAATGAAAAAAAAAAAAAAAATTCTTACTGACCCCAAACATTTAGTCTATTTTACCATTTTCATATATGTTTTTGGTTCATGGCTCTGTAATCAAGCTGGTGTCCTGCTGATTATACAGACTGAACTGATGTTTCCAGATATTGGCAAGTGTTACCATCAGGTATGTTTGAGTTGAGCGTGGTGTACATGTCCGTGCTCTTTATTCACCCGCTCTGGTAAGACTTTGAAGAGAGAGTTTAGATGTTACGTGACATACATTTCACTCCACGTATCTTTTTTATGTATTAGTTCATTAGTTTAGTAGTGTTGCCACCCAATGTAAGTTTTGGTTTGTTTAGTTAGTGTAGTTATGGTGGGGCGTGTTGGTAGCACACCGAAGATGTTATTTTGATTTTAATTTTGATTATGCTAGGTTAGATTTAAATCCTTTGGTTAGAAATTTTTTTTTTTTTTTGGTTATTTGATTTGGCAACACTTGTGCTGTCTTCATTATTTAGCTCATTTGTATTATTACTTCAAAGTTTAATTTCTTTTTGTTTATTGACAAATAAATGTATTTTCTCTGTTTGAATTTGTGGTGTTCTCCTCTATCCTATTTGCACTAGGCTATATCCTATTTTTTTTTTAAATAAATGTTACATCCCCTAAATATCCCTAGACAAATCAACAAGGTATTGGGACGTAACAGCAAGACATATTACCTCGCTCAATATCATCCATGGGAGATGATGGAGACATTTTCTCCTTGGGAGGAGAGCTCTTGGTGCTGGATGGAACCTTGTTTCCACTTCCGGTCTTCATCTGCTGACTGAGCCTGCTGGTTTGCTGCTCCAGCCGTGACTGAATCTTACTGCTTCCCTCAGCCCTGTAAGGAAACAGAAACATGACACTTTATTTACTTAAAAGCTTTAAATGAGTATATCATGAAATATATTGTGAATCCATATGACTTGGAACACAAACTAATTAATACCTGGTCTTCTTGACGGCAATGTTGCTGCTGAGTTTCTCCAGACGATACTCTCCCGTGTCATGGTTAACAATGAGAACACATTCTTTCATATAAGGCCTTTTGGAACCTTTAAATACGGTAACAGGTGCTAAGGATCCCTGCAATGATTGATGGGAAAGGAGATTCAGCTTAATCATCCATGCTACTGTACATACAATCATTTTTTTTGTGGAACTAAGGTTACTGAGCCTACCTCTAAGTTCGGTAGTGTGACTGTAACTTGCTCTCCTTTGCCCACTTCCAGCTCCCCCTCACATGTTGTGTCTATGGAGGCTGGTTTGAAATCATCTATGACCAGGAAGAAAACATTCGTATTTCATAATCATGTGTACCATTGCTGACATTCAACATCAGCAGTGTTGTACCAACGTAGAACCTACAGAGGGCGCGTGTTGCCTATTGTAGTGGAAAATCAGTAATTCCTCATGAATTAAATGTTTTCCAAGATCTCATTTTAAACCACAGCGTTTCAGCGGATAGAAAAGCGTGTTCGTTTAGGAAGGTTTCCATTATAAGCACAAAGACAGATGCTTTTTCATTATTTCCAAATAACATTAAAAAACTGAGATAGCCAGCAAGGTGGAAAAACACATAGCTGCCTTCTCATATGCCTGTGCACATAGTTTAAAAACAACTTGTGGTTTCAGTATCAACGTAAGAAACAGCTCTTTTTTCAAAATATGATTTGTTTGTATGTGTTTATGTAAATATTCCAATATAGAGATAATAATGTAAAATATGCCACTTACATCGTACCGTGTGGAATGCACTTTTAGGTTGTTTCTCAAATGTTTCGCCTAGTTTGAGGACGTGTTCTTGATTGTCAAAGTTTGAATATGCTGTTCCATTCATTCTAATCACAATGTTTAATCATATGTTACCAGTTTTCAACTTTCTGCTCGATTCGATACCATCTACGGCAGAAAATGAAATAGACACCTCACTTCTGGAGTATGGACCCGTTGCTTGAGCTTGCTACGCTGTGATTGGTTGGGTTTGTGTACTTGGTCACGCCTCATTGGAGGTCTTCTTCACTGTAATTGGCTAAGAAAACTGTCAGTCAACGCTGACGCAGCGACAGACGGAAGTGTCTATTTTTTACCCGAACGCATGAGTGCCCTCTAGTACTCTCTAAGAAAATCCACTAGTCAGTTTGCAATCGCAACACAAAGAATATGAAAAAGTCCAAAAATATATATTAAGGTCTGTTCAAAGCTGGTAATTTCACAAGAAAGTATAATGTATTCATAATGACTTATGAATTATTTTACATTATATTAAATTATAATTAGGCTATATATCAGCAGAATAATCTCGCCTTTGATTATAGTTTAGCACAAAGGTGCAATGTCATTTACGTGCTTTGAAAAAAATGTGTAAGTTACTTTTATTTCCATTGACAGACAGAATATGGGGTCGTAGCCTGTTTGGAGGTTGTTTTTTACCCGAACGCATGAGTGCCCGCCCTCTAGTGCTCTCTAAGAAAATCCACTAGTTAGTTTGCAATCGCAACACAAAGAATATGAAAAAGTCCAAAAATATATATTAAGGTCTGTTCAAAGCTGGTAATTTCACAAGAAAGTATAATGTATTCATAATGACTTATGAATTATTTTACATTATATTAAATTATAATTAGGCTATATATCAGCAGAATAATTTCGCCTTTGATTATAGTTTAGCACAAAGGTGCAATGTCATTTACGTGCTTTGAAAAAAATGTGTAAGTTACTTTTATTTCCATTGACAGACAGAATATGGGGTCGTAGCCTGTTTGGAGGTTGTCACAAGCCGGTTCATTCACGAGCAGCGCGTGTGTCCCGCCTAATAACGGGCAGATTCGTGTTTGGATGATCCCGTCACGGCGTCATCTCTATGTAAGTTTGAGCATCTGTTGAACAGTCATTGGTCCCGTATCTAAATTCTAATGAGTCGGTTGTGAATGTGACTCACAGGCGTTTGGTTCATTAATAGCGCAGGCTGAAGGAATGGACTTCGTGGTCGAGTTTTCACTGATTTTGAGCGAGGTTTTCCAATCCTGCAAGCTTCAGTTTAGTCAGCTTCTGTGAGTCTGAGTTTCGGCTTTGATTTCACAGGAAACCGTAAAGTGGGTAATTAAAGCGGCAGCTTTATTGTTGGATGTCATAAGCGTAAAAGTAAGTCAAGTGCAGGATCTCTGAATACTAACTCATATCTATGATCATTAAAATTCAATTGAGATCGAGACGGGGGGCAGCAGAGGCATATGTGATTGTTGGGAATTAGCAGGTTGCTGGGTGACTGTCTTTACTCTTAAGACCCATTATGGGGTGAAGATGACTGGAAATCTGCCATTATTTGCCATTACAGATGGAGACTGGCTGGCACCCTTAGTTAGAGGTTCTGCATTTGTTTACATGACCCAGATGACCGATCTGATCTTTTTTTAATATGATGAGAATGGACATTATACATGTAAATGCACTACATATTCATTTACCATTATATAGTTGGGTTCAAAAGGTTGAGAAAAATCTGGGATTTAGTTTATTTAAACCTGGAAATGTACTGATTTTAAAGATTTTTTTTTAAATCAAGAAATTATGATGTAGGCCTAATATTAAGAAAAATGTAAAATTATGCACTATTTAAGGGTCACATGACAACGTTTTAGAGTTCTTTGGAACTCATGCAAGCTCCAGAAATTCATAATTCGTAATGAAAGAAAATCGTATCAGAAAAATGCAAAATAGAAGCATTTTCTCTAGTCCGCACTGCCAGGTGATGCAGACATAGTGGACTCAGCAGTGGTGGACAGATGACTGTTCTCCATTAAGTGATTGGGTGAGATCAGGACTCCTGTCCACACAGACTGCATTATCTAAGTAATGGTCATCAGGGGAGTCATTACAGGATTGCTGTTCTTTCCTCAGTTGCTTACTGGACAAATAAAGTTGCAGTTAAATTTAATGAGAGCTGACAGCTGTTCTAGATTAGAGGTTCTGCATTTGACGATCTGATCTTTTTTTTTAACATACTGACAATGGACATTATACCTGTAAATGCACAACATATTCTTTTAAATTTATATAGTTGAATTATAAAGATTGAGACCACATTGAAAATCTGTTTATCAAGTAATCATCATAACATTGATCTTGCAAACGTTTTACAGCACTTTGGAAGTCATGCAAGCTCAAGAAATTCATAACTCTTAATGAAAGAAAACTGTATTAGAAAAAAGTGGCACTGGCAGGTGTTTCACATAGACATAGTGGACTCAGTAATGGTGGATAGAGGATGATTGTTCTCCATTAAATGATTGGCTGAGATCAGGACTCCTGTCCACACAGACTGCATTATCTAAGTAATGGTCATCAGGGGAGTCATTACAGGATTGCTGTTCTTTCCTCAGTTGCTTACTGGACAAATAAAGTTGTAGTTAATTTTAATTCAATTCAATTCAAGTGTATTTGTATAGCGCTTTTTACGATACAAATCGTTGCAAAGCAACTTTACAGAAAATTAAGTTTCTACAATATTTAGTAGTAGCTTATGGTGACTGTCAGTTTATGTACATATGGCAGAAATGTATGGAAAAATCAATTAAAGACGTAATCAAACAGACGATGAACATTATGACCGCAATTATTATATGATGCATTTAAACTTATAGCAAAGAGAGCTGACAGCTGTTCTTGATAAGAAAGTTTAAAGAAACTTTTGCTGTTTACTAGTGATGCAACAAAATCATTTATTTTATTTTTTTACAGAAACACCCAAAATTGAAATTAAAGTTATTTCATTTAGCCTAAAACCCAAAACAAAAAAACAAGTTTTGGTAAAGAATTTGGGTAATTGAACTTAGTATGCTGTGCGCAGATGATAAACAAGTCATAAGTTGTTTTGTCAATGAGCCTCCACAGCTGAACTATTTTCATATATTGCTACTGTAGCATCATTTTTGGTCCAGAAGTGTGTCTACACTGCTGACAAGTTTACTTGTTGCAGCTTATCCACATTGTGTGCACTAAGACAATGACAAAGTCAAAACATCAGAGAAGCGCTGTTTCGGTCAGTGATTGCAGCCTTAAAAACTATTTTGGCTGAAACCTAAAATTATTTTTATTTTCTCAAATATTTTCATTTTCTGAAATTTTGGTGCATGACTACAATTTAGCCAGGTTAAAAAGAGTGTTTCGTTGTGTGCACTATGCATCATTTGGCATCAAACAAAAATTCCAGTTCCTCTGAATGAGGATGGCGAGGAAAATACGATCCTATTTCACTTTTGTATAGACAACTATACAGCTAAACTGTATTTAGCTATAGATTAGATTAACTAGAAACACACTAAATGACCTCGACATGTATCATGGTCACTAGCAGAAAACATGACAGGAGAGCTGCAAGGACAGATGAGCTCAGAACTTCTCAGTATGAGCCACTCAGAGTTCATTTGCATATCTCCTGTAGATTACATGTAGTATGTGACCTACTTTAAATGTGTTTTATTTAAACAAACACTTAATGTTCCATTACTGAACTTTGCTAAGATGCAAATGACTATATAGCTACTGTTTGTTTTGCCTAAAGTCAAGCGTGGATGTTCTCTGGAAGGTCTTCCACAAGAGCAACATCATATCAGTCTGGCCTTGCCCTTGATTCAAGGCATGTTGCTTTATCTCTCTCTCTCTCTTTCTCTCTCTCTCTCTCTCTCTCGAAATGTTGAAAATCTGAAATGTTACTAAAACAGTTTCGCAACTAGAATACCACATGACATTGTCATGATATGATGTGAATTTTTGGAAGATTAAATCACCACAGCATGATGACTAAAGCATCATGATAATGAGGGTGATGACATTAGTTTTTCTGCGATATATGCAGCAACATTTGATACAGCTCTTGTTCAGCCCATATAGCTCTGATATAACACATCTCATGTGCAGCTCTATGATGAATGTCCTTCCTGCTGTGTTTGTATTGTTTTGTTCTTAAATATAGTCTAGGTCACCTTGTCAGTTGGAAGGACCAATATGTGTTTGGTGGTTAAAGATGTTTTATTTGATTTTGAAAACTGGCCACCCCTCTTGTTCACCCTGACATAATACATCTCTTTGATGAATGTCCTCTTTGCTGGGTCTGTATTGTTTTGTTCTTAAAATTTGAACTAGGTCACCCTGTCAGTAGGAAGGACCAATATGTGTTGGGTGGTTAAAGATATTTTATCTAATTTTTAAAATTTGCTTGCTGTAATTCAGGGATTTTTTTTTGAATGACCTTGAGGCAAAATGAAGTGGAAATGTGCACAATGTCAGGAAGGCTGTAATAGGCTTTATTCATTTTTGTTTATTTAAGTTCATTGTATACTTTGTTTATTAAAGTGCATTATCTTGTTTAGGTGTCTGCACACCTCTCTGCTCAGAATATGCCATTTTGCATAAAATGATAATATGAGTACTGTACATATCTGATGTTAAAATTGCGATAAAACAAGAAGTAGTGACAGATCAGATTATTCCATCTTGAAAAAGAAAAAAATGTAGGGTGGGGACTTGGCTCTATACATTAGTTGTTGGTTGAATTTTGAGATGTTGACAAATGAATGCAGATGAATGTGAGCTTCCAGGGTAAATTTGAACATTTTCATGCATACAATCTAATGTTGTCTGTGACTTCTGGTCTGAAAACATGACATAATTTTCTTTTAAGTTAGTTCAGCTGAATTAGCAGATCTGGGGAATCAAATAAAAATAGTTAGTTCCCAAAACAAAATCCATGACTGAAATAATCATGTTCTCCCTCTCTAGCCAGAAATTAATTAATGAATGGGGCCCAGTTTAAATAAACTGTTTTCATTTGTATCCTTCTTTATGTCTGCAAAATACAGTATAATGAAGTCAGTCCCATTCCCCATAGTTTTTAACAGATTCTACAATGGAATCCTGTATCAATAAAGAGTTTGCTGTATCAGTGGAGGCATCATGCAGTAGA